GTTTTTGTTAGTAAAATATAATTGTAAATATTTTTAATTTAATTTACAAGTCGTACTGATACGATGGGACACCCGATATATTCTTAAAAAATATACTTTTCATGTTTACAAACCAGTATAAAGCACATAATGAAAGTACATGATAGCACAGAAAGCATTGAACATGTTTTACAATACTCGGGTTTCTAACTTAACGCCTTAAATATGACCAGGGTATAATTTTTAAAAATATTTTAAGAATACAAATGAAGAGTTTGATATTCAAATGATAAGTGCTTCTAATTTACAAACTTTACCCGTTTTATGCATAATAACACATTACACTCTACTAAATCATTACTTAACTATACATTATTCGCCATACAATACGGTTATATAATTTAGGACTTCCGTACGGGTGGTGACCCTATACTCGACAACACTCTTAACCTTAAGAGGGATTCCGAATGGAAACGGATTCGTACACTAATTACGCCCACATTTACGGTCGGAAAACTCAAACGAATGACTCCTTTAATACTGAAATGCGTGGACACTATGACCGACAACATCGACAAAATCATTGCTAATAGTAATGGAAATCTCTCGGCACCGGTAGACGTGAAACTAGTTACCAGTGCCTACGTTATGGAGTCTATGATACAGGTGGCTTTCGGTCGGAAAGTGTCAGCACTGGCCGACCCTAACAACCCTATTATAGAGAATTTCCGCAAATTTTTTGATTTTAATGTAGCTTTCCGTATGAGAATGATTGTGGTAATAATGGCACCAAAAATAGCTAAAATGTTCAAGCTAACTTCTTTTGATAGTAAAGTTACTGAATTTTTCCGAGATTTTACACTCAGTCTGATTGACGATAGGAAACGGGATTTGGAAACCAGAAGTCCTGTAAAAAGGGTTGACTTTTTGCAACTGATGTTGAATTCAATGAGAGATAATAATAATGAGGCGATCGATGGGTCAGAAGGATATACGGATAGTCAGAGGGCAGAGAAATATAGGGAAATACAACCCACGGCTGATATGAACGATAAAAGTAATTATATATTATATTTTTAAAAATATCATCAATTATTAGATATAATCTACTAAATACGTTTTTATTTATATTGTCAGGCCTTTCATACGACGAGCTTATAGCCCAATGTGTGATGTTTTTAACAGCCGGGTATGAGAGCTCATCCGCCACTCTGTCCATGTGTTTGCATAATATCGCTAAACATCCGGAAGTTCAACACAAACTGTACGAAGAAATTCATACATTTCACAAACAAAAGGTTTGAGAAAATTATTTTCAAAAATAAATAGCTAATAGGCTGAAAAATGTTTTAAACATTTTAAACTGCTGTTTTATTTAAATACTACCGGTAATTAAAAAAATAAATTTTAAATAATTTTCATTAAAATTCAAACAGAAATCAAGTACCGATTCGTACGAAACGATGCACTCATTGAAATACATGGACGCAGTCATCGACGAGACTCTACGGCTATTCACGTCACCCATAGCCAGGGAAAGGGTCGCCAATGAGGACTACGAGCTTAAGGGTACAGGTATTACCATTAAAAAAGGACATCTTGTGCACATACCCGCCTATGCCATGCATAGAGACCCGGATAACTTTGTTGACCCGGAATCGTTTAGACCGGAAAGGTTTTTAGCGGAAAACATAGCCCACAATCCCTATACGTATTTGCCATTTGGTGCCGGCCCTCGAAACTGTATTGGCATGCGATTGGCACAGCTGGAAATTAAATTAGCCCTGGTCAATCTCTTACATCGTTATGTTTTTCATATTACAGAGGTATTATTATTTACACAGTTTGATAATAATAGCAATATAAATAATTATTGTTTTTTGTATTTTCAGAAATCATTTGAGCAAAGTGTTTCATCCAGTGGTCTAATTGCACTCAAATCAATGGTTTTGAGAATTGAAAAGCGATTTTAACTTTTAAAATTACCACACTGATTTTTCATTTGATTATATGTCAAAATATTAATAACGTTATTTTAATATTAAAAAAGTGTGCGGGAAAATTAAATTATATATTTTTAAAACAAATAATTAAAATTTAATCGTATCATTATTTGCAAAAAATATATGTTTATTGTGATTAAATATTGTCAGCGAAAAAATTAGACACACAAAATTGCTCAATACCTTTACCCCAATACCCAGTACAGTTTGGCGATTTGCTAATGGCCAACTTAAAATATTGAATTTCTAACAATTAATTTTAACCGCAATCTGAATCCAATTCCGTAGAGAATATTTCATTGTATTTAATCTATCAAATAAAAGTTTTACTAAAGAATTTTTAATTTCATTTTATAGCATGTTCATTTTGTGACTGTATGAAATACATTAGCATTGGCATCGGGTTGGGCTCATTAGGGTGTTCAAATTCAGGGCGAATTTTCAAATATCGGTACTAGGTCGTTTGGTTGCGCCACCGGTAGCGTGAAGCGAGCGCACGAGTTTGTGAACGCAGTCGGTCAGAGTGGGGTACAGGTGCCGGAAGTTTGGCGCCGATAAAAATGGCCGATAAACATGGCCGATCACACGGCACGCATTCGTCGCCGTTCGCTTCGCCCAAGTGTTCGTCGCCGGTGATCGGGTGCGGACCCGGTGTTTGGTACCGATCGGCGAATACGTCGAAATCTTTGACCAGAATCTGTTTGACGAGCGCCGAGTCGGCCACCGTAAGCACCGGTTTGTTGCCGTCGAATATACTGTATTCATATAAATGGGTCATACAATACGTACGTACATACCGTGTTGGGTAGGAAAGAGGGTAGAAATTATAAATTTTGTATTAATTGATCACTAACTAGATCATTAAAGTACAAAAATTATGAGCTTATACAATTAGTAATGCTATAGGTATATAGAAATTATATACTATGTTTGACAAAAGGGTTGAGACAAGTTATGTTTAATTAAATATAGGTTAGAATTGAGCTAGATTAAAACAAAATCTTTTGCAACTATTGTTTTTAGGCACCAACACACCGGTATGCCCAATTTGTTTAAATTCTTAGCTCGTTGTCTCAACACACTGTTCGAATCGTATTTCAAAATACTAAAAATTATTTGCTTGCACCAATACTGTATCTTGTGCACAGAATTTTCTAGGTCAAAAATCAATTTTCTCTATGTATTTATTTTATACCTGTTTTATTGTTATACACCTTTACCTGTATTTTCAAAACACAGAGAAAATTGATTTTTGACCTAGAAATTTCTGTGCTCAAGATACAGTATCGGTGTAAGCAAATAACTTTTAGTATATTGAAAAACAATTCCAACAAAATTGAGATCACCCAGATCCATTGAGTCGTTGCTGAGATTAATGGATTTCAAATCATAAAAATTTCATAAATAAAGAATTTTTAAAAATCAATAAGGCAAAATTTCTCAAAATCTAGAAATTACTTTTTTCATATTGACCTTGCGCATCATATCCAAAAATCAGATCTTAAAAATATTCATTACTTTTTGAGCAATAAATATTGGCACCTACATCCCGTTCCCC